CGCCGCCGCCTCCCCCGCCGCGGGCGCGGCCGCCCGCGCCCCCCCCCCGCCCGCCCCCCCCCCCCCCGCCCCCCCCCCCCCCCCCCCCCCATATAAAATGAAAGAACCAAGAAAAAAAAAACAGAATGTTGAGGTGAAGATGGGTAACCTGGTAGTTTACGATAGGTTCCTTTTCCTCAGGATGTGGAACCTAGCACTTGCATGCCGACCACGCTACTGTGTACCACGCCACACGTACATATGAATCTGCGAAATGGGGTGATAGATACGTTAGTATCGAAGGATGTCATTGGGTTAGATCGCATTGGAAGGCGATCTGTGGAACAAGGAACAAGAAAAAAGGGGGAGAGGGGGGTGGGAAGGGGGTGGGAAGGGGGTGGAGAGGAGAATAGAAGAAACAACTGTGTCAGCCCTTTCTTAAAAGTTCTACGGGCTTTAAAAAAGGAGGGTGGGGAATACATGGCAATATCGAAATATCAGTGCTATTTGTTGGAAATAGAGACACCTTGATTTCCCACATACATACCTAGATGGATAGATAGATGCAGGTCAGGTAGCTTAGCTGGATAGGTGGAGAGTCCGCATAGTTCGTTGGAGTGGTAATGAGTAGTAGAAGCATGAGTTAGGTACCTAAGCTAATGCTAGTGTCAATAGTAGGACATCGTCATATGCGAGCAATAACGGGTTGGCTGGCTGGGCGAGAGCAAACCCTCGAACTCGCGCAGAATTACTACATACGTCAGAATCAGGCACGCGTCGGGCGTTGTCAGGATCTCTGAATGAGGTTACCATGCTGCAATGCTGCGCTTGTTTGGACGTGCAGCAATAAAATATAAAGAAAAGAAAAGGGGAGAAAGGGGAGACAAGAGACACAATCATGATGGATACTTTGAGTCATTACCAACTGGCGGTCAAGGAAGGTATTGAGATAGAAGATACGAGAAAAATAATAAATAATACCTTGATCTCGCTTAGATGGAAGGTAGTTTGCCTCGATTTCGACTATATAAGGATAGTAAGACTATCTTTTTAACTTTGGGCGGTTATTAAGAGACATGAATCGGCAAGGAGAGGGGGAGTGGAGCCAAGAATGATTCTTACAGTAAATTATATGCATATAAAACTGGGATATATGGACATGCACCTCGAACAGAAAGACATATGTTAGGTCAGGTGGGTAGGTTAGGTACAGATTATAATGTTCCTGACTAATGGTTGATAAGTAGTTGAAGGTAAGGCTCGTTTATTTTACCTTATGTCCATACACACACAGAGAGAGACATAAACACTTTGAAAGGTGTCGATCTACGATAGGAACGATAGGGACGGCGATAAGAAAAGACCTTTCTAAACGTGGAAGTGGGAAAGATAAGATGCCGGTGGTAAGCGTATGCGGGTAAAGTGGATGGAAAGCCAGCCAACCTGTAAGGGAACCATATTGGGAACCATTATTTGGATGTGGCTACATCTACTACTACGCTTATGGATGTATCGTGCCTTGCATCCTGCAGGCCAATCTTATTTTAGAGGTACCGCGCACAGGACACTCTAAAAGTAGAACTTCTAAAAGTATAGATACCTCGCTGACGTACCTGTCATCTAGCTGCACATGTGACTATAATGACTATAGTATGAATTTATGCGGTTGAGATACTTCCCACATTATGTACTTCTCAGGTACTTAAATGTACATCCGCATCGAACCCTACAGTCGGTAGGTAGATACATCCCTTACCTAGCGCCTTAGATATATGCAATATGTACCTAGGTATGGTGTTCCCCTTGTGGCTTTGGGAGCGATCCGAGCTGCCGGGGCGTTACACATGGGAAATGTACTGCCCGTACTTATAATAGTTGATGCAGGTCGGGAGTACCTAGTTCGTCTTCCCCGGAAGGATAATCCCTACACATGTTGATCAACAGAGGATATATCACATTAGATCCTGACGTACCGAAGTTGATTCGTTATACTTTATCTAGATAGATATCTGTCGTGGGAGCGTTCTCGATTGTCTACCTCGACTCGGAACCGAACCAGCCCTCCTCATAGCGAATTCTCGAAAACCTCCATGTAGCCTACTTAGGTAAGTGCCTAGGTAGGCAGGTACGCTCACAAGGGATGTCAAATGGCCCTAGGCGGTAAACAGATATCTGGTGATACCCTCAAGGCTTCGTAATACGAAATAATACTGGAGGGAACCGTGCTTAATTTAGAATAAAACCTCGTTGTGAAGCTCGTTTGTGTTTAGCAAACATCAATACGAGAAGTTGTTTCAGGAAGTCGTTGGGAGAGTGGCATCATGGGACCCCGAAAGCGCCCGGAGGGACGTAGGCTTGTGAGGTGAACTGAGAAGCAAAAGCCCCGATGTCTCACCATCTTCTCTATAATGAGGTAAGCATTTAATCATATCAGGAGACACTGTGCCACGCAGTTCAAATGCCGAGGTTGGATATGCATTGTTTTGTTAGTCCCTAGTGCAAGGCTGTCTATGAGTTGCCTAGAGCATAATAAGCCACGACTGGCTGGGTAAATATTACGGTAAGAGCCGGGAACACATTGACGGCAACGCACGCGTAAGTCAGGCGAATCGGATGGACGGGCTGAGGTCACAACTTATATAAAGGCCGAAGGGATGTAAAGGTCCGCTCGCGTGTCCGCGAGCTGGATGGGGCACAGATAACTGCTTACCCGGTACCTAGGGTAGGTAGCACGGACAAACCTTGGGCTACTTGCCCGACAGTATCGTGTCCAACACGTCAAAACTCCAAATATGCTAAGTTAAGAGTGGTGGGTATAGACATGCGAAAACAAGGGCACCGTGCCTCCACATAAAGCAAGATTTATATAGTGACTGACGTCTGTACTTGGTTGTATGGTGGGGAGACCGGAGGGTAGCCGGTGATGGCCGGTAGAAAACAGTTAACCTCGGACCGGCCAAAGGCTGCCGAGTCCGGCCGAAGCAATACCGGACGACAGCCTTGGCAGGTACGCAGGGGAAGTATGGGGCGCACAGGTCCCTGACAGTTTGCAGCGCTTTCCTTCGGGGGAGCGGGGCCGGGGCCTGCCCAGGAAGCGGAATCCCGCCTATAGTGGCAGCATAATTAAGCACCCACAACATTTACAGGCACAGGAATACTCGATATCGCCGCCTATAACGCCATTGTGACATTGATGCACTAATGTGTACGGTCTTTGGTACGTATAAGCTGCATTTCATCTCAGCCCTGTCCCTTGGCAGGGTCCTGGATCGATGATATTTTATTCGCCAGGTAAGGAGTACGGATGTGCAATTGTACAATACAATACATCGATTTTGTATCGGCATTGTATCTCGGGGTCGTGGGCTGACGAGCTTACGCACGCACGGCGTCCGGCGATAATGGAAGTCTGGACTTACATAGGTCGGATAGGCTTGGTAAGTCATCTGATATACAGCCCTGCTTCTGAGTTAATTATGCTGCTGCAAATGTCCCAACCGGGTAATGAAACCAGGCAAATGCGGGAAATAATCAGCAAGATCAGAGATCAGAGAGAATTAAAACGAAATAATATACCCCGTAGCCTGGCCGGCCTGGTACCAGGTAGGGAATTACCTACCTAGTCGCTAACCTACATGTAATGTACTAGATGATGTACTGGGTTGAGATTAGCAACATGACGCCACTTGCATCCACTAGGTACCGACTCGCCCAGCCAGCCCAGCTAACTTGTAGGGCATATCGATAAAGGATTGTCGATAGCGTCAGATCATAGCGGGGGAGGGGGTGTGAAGGTTGAAGGCGAGGGGTTTGGGTCTGGCCTCTCTACCCACGTCTCCCACTGCAGGATCTTATTAGTCGCTTTAAGGTAGGGCACGCAAAAGGTTGTCGGACATTTTACTCCCCTCTTGGGCATTGATTGCTTCTTCCCACGTATGAACTAGTTTGTGTTGAAGTCTGATATGTAACCCCATAAGGTTCCGGCCTTATAATTGCTGTTTATAAAAGATGTTCAAGTGCAACGCTACCTAGGTTAGGTACCTAGCTAGTTAGTTAGGTAGTTAGTTCATAGGTAGGTACTTAGGTAGGTATGTTCGAAAGTGTCTGTGCCTGTTATGTATCAGTCAGATACCAAGCATAATCAAGTTTTCGTCCGTACCGACAGTTCAGCCTCGGTGAATATGAGCAGCCGCCATCCGTAGAGCTGGAGCTGGATTGTGGTTAGGAGTCTTACATCTGGGTGTCACGATAGCAGGGCGGAACTTGTGTACTATGACTAATGCAAATAATATTGATGCATACGTGGTAACCGGGCTGTGGATCATCAGGTACAAGAACCGCGATAATGGTTAAAGGAGACATTGTACAGTTGTCACACACGCACACACGCACACGCACGTCCAGAATCCCGTAGGGCAAGGGAGAAAAGGTTTGATGACATGTCCGCGTATCTTACAATGGGAAGAACAGCCAGGGGCTTGCAGGTTGGCGCAAATTGAAACGCATGCATGAGATACGCCTGTATCAGGTATACAAAAACATGATAAAACAATGTAGGCAAGGGAAGAAGTAAAAGAAAAGGTACCCGAGCAAAGCGAGAGGGGAATGGAGAAAGGCTGATGGTGGTAGCAGGTGCTAGTGTGTGGTGTTGGTATACACTGTTCGCTGTTCGCTGTATTGTACAATACAAAAGTACTGAGATTTACATAGTACACATTAGCAGTCAGCTGGACGCTTATTGTCCAAGCATTCCATATTATACCGTCAATCCGGATACGATAAAATGGTAGGAATGCGGCAAAGCCTGTAAGATCTCCGTGGACCCGAGGGAACCTCTACTCGATATCCCGATGACACGATTGTCTCTTGGCAGGATGTGATCCTTCTTAAGTGCCAACCTGGGTACCTCGACATAAGCGTCTCGCAGGGACAATCTAGGCTCGATAACATTGACCGAGTTTTAACGCAACTGCGTCCAGTCTGCCAGTATGATGGACAATACCCCGGTAATAAAAAACTGGAGGAGAGCCGTCAAGTAGTGTATGCCGAATATACATAGGAAATACTAGATAGGCAGGCGTTGCGTCAGAGCGTCGAGATGACGCAGATCCTAGCCTAAACAAGTTTGACTTACAGCATTTATCTCCTCAAGGTTACAGAGCCCCGGCTGTTGAATAAGACATCGCTTCTAAAGAAATTCGCATTATGGAAGAAAAAATAAAATAAAATAAAAATATAACTCCCCTTGACAGGTACCTAATCTAATTTAAGTTTATGAACGGCGTCGTCCGTTCTGCCAATAGGTATTCAAAAAAGTACGTGTACAGGGCATGAGAGGCAAATGAGAAAAACCGAGTAAAAGAAAAGGAGGGGACACAGGGACAAATGGGAATAATTTTACCTAAAGTGAAGTACCTACTGAATAAACACGTAGGCTCAAACGAACACATATCGTACAGCTATGGTTTCAAGCAAGCTTACTTTCTTGTTAAATTTGTGGAAGGATTAGAAAAAGAAGAAGATGAAAAAACGAACCAAGGTCGGAAGTTTTAGTCGGCCTTGTAAGAGCTTAAGAGGCACCGTCTGACAGTATCGTTGTGAAAGTTACCCTTCGGCCATCAGTACCAAGGCTATAATGGAGTTAAGACCGAGCAGAGGCCGGTTTGTCTTGGGATATGCTTTGGTGATATTCGGGAAAATAGTTGATAGGATTTAACCTATAAGTAAGCGGTTAGATCGGTTATACAACAGATGACCAAGCTCGCCATAGAGGTGACGAATATTCGGGACAAGTCAGGAACAAGGTTGTTTTTTTTTTGTCGGGACGACGATGGAGATATTGCCGATGAGATGCGTCCATGCATGCGCCTAATAATTATAATAGTTTATAGTAACTAGTTTATACTAGTCCGGCGTGCCTCACCTTATGCCTTGTAAAAAGCTGAGGCGCCGACAGGACCAGCTTTATACTAATGCAGCTAAACATGACTAGTATTCCAACAAGTCCAGATTGAAAGATCTATGATGTATGATACCTGCGACGGCGGCTACTTGTGGGGTTCGGAGAACGGGGGGGGATCAATGTGAGATGTGCGATGCGCAAAGTGCGATGAACGATGTGAGACGAGCAATGAACAAAACAAATGTAAGGTAATCAACAAATGTGCGAACGGTTTATGTGAGAAGAACACATTCAGAAGGAACATCCAGAGGCAAGCTTGATCCCATGATTCCTTTTCTCCCATCGTACCCGAATCCGGGGGCCAGTTTCCCTGGAATACAAGAGTGCGCTAAAGGCAGGGCCAATCAGGGGTAACCATTGTTTTTTATAGAATGAATATACCCCTGTTAACAGGTAACTGGTTGCCCTGTCTGTCTTGTCCCTGTCCTGACTTCCCTAGCGCTAGAGAACGGGTACTGCATAGATACCTCGCAGGGGATTTTCCAATTAGGTACCTAACCTTAGGTAAGGTTAGGTATGCAGGTGCGACCGCACGACAGGGAGACGGACTGGGATAACACAGCTAGATCAGTTAGGTTAGGTTTAGGTACCTTAGGTACCTACCTGATAGACATGACATGGTATCTTACCCCTGTACCCCTGTACCCCTGTACCCCTCTGCTTCTAGTGTATACTGTGCCCATGTATTGTACCTAAGGTAGCGGCGCCAGCCCCTCGCACCAACGAGTGGAATGGTAAAATAAAAACGGGATAGGTTCACACTCGCAAGCGCACAAGCAAGAGCCCCTCCTTCTTCCATTTGCCCCTCATCCACCCCCTCTAATCTTTTGAATGGTAATCCGTAGCTCTCTCTTACTTTTTTCAGATCCATCCCACCAAAAATTTGAAAAATAAAAACATAAACCCACTTCGGAAGAGAGCAAAGAGGAAAACCGGCATTTTTTATGATTTGATATGATACTTACCTACTACCTCCGTACCATACTCACCAACACACATGGAATCCTCCACGACCTAATCCACAATTATCCGATAAGGCATAAGACACTATTCAGCTGTCATAAACCATCTAGTAAATTTACTCCCTCTATTTTCTTTTTTCATACTTTGATTGGTTGGGAAGAAAATCATACCTTCATTTTTAGTCTCTCGCCCACGGTGGTATCAAAAGAGAGCGAGAGAGAGAGAGGCACAAATAGAGGCACAATAAGAGGCCACGAATAGAGAGGTACGAATAGAGGCATGACCGCAAAGTCGACCCCGCTGTAAATCCCGTACGACTCCGCCGTATACAAAGCTGACTAGGTGAAAGTTGTTTCCGTCGTTCGATGACCTCACTAGCGTATCGTCGTTGTTGTTGACTCGAATGGGCATTCCCACATAGCTAACGAATAAACTACGACGATAATAGCGATAATAACCACATCAGATATCCACTCTTCTGTAAGTTCGTCCCTCTCTATCCACTTTACCAGGTACACACACGCACGCATATACACGCATACACTTCGTATAGCTCTTCATTCGTGCATATTTCCATACTTGCCAAGCCTCCTCAAATGTCAACTTGTCCCTTAGGTCGTTTTCTTCTACACATTTTTTTTATTTCTTTTTCTTTTTCGTCTTTCTCACGATAATCCACATGTAACTGCTTTTTTTAAACTGTATAACAAGGTAGCATGGCAAAACATACCTAGGTATCTAATAAGCATGGCTACCTCCTAACATCTTGCTACTTACACACTCGCGCTCCGCGCATAGATACGCAAGCGCACATAGCACACATACCTAATCACTACTACCTACGCCCATCTATATTGTACCCTTATAGTAGACTTTTACATACGCGGACATACCTAACGTACCTATTGCACATACCCATACCCTAAATACATGAGACGTGGACATAAACATGGACATGAAGAACATACATGGATGATGGATCCATATACCTGCTTTTACATTACATTACATTGCATTACATGTTAAATACATAGTAAAATCTTTCCCGACTTCGAACTAGGGAACCCCCTCTATCTCTGGGCCATAAACCCCCCATAAACCCCCATAACCCATCACAAGTCATCACTGACAAGCCGACCATTCCCAACCATCCCTCCTGTCTACCTCCTACCTATCTCATCATCTTGCTTCATTGCCCCTCCAACATTTTTTTTTCTGCTTCGGATCCCCTCTTTCTCTTTGCCTCATCCCTTGCCACTCTACCAACCTTATTTCTCTTCCCTTCCCCTTGCACATTATCAATAACTACTATTTACTGAACGGGTCAAAGTCTCAGGTAATTTCACTTATCCCTAAAAAAAATATTGGGACGAGTTCTTCGGTTAGCTCTCAAATCGGAGACCCGCACGGATTTATTCAGCTTGATCGACCCCAACTCCCACTTCTGGACCCAGCCTCTTCAGTGGTTGGCTAGTCCCTGGCCTAGACTGTCCCTGGCTCTTTGTTCTCACTCGTCGTTTCGGACGAATGCGCGCTCAGTAGAAGCACCATAACTGGTTAAAAAAATAATAATAATCCACTAGGGGAAAAAACATATATTCTTTGTCGATGCCATTCATACCATTCGTATTGCATCCAACCGTGGAAAAAAAAAAGATACCTCTTCGAATTCTCTTCGGCCTGTGATCGCAACATTCCAAGGACATATATTCGTCATTCTTGAGCCTTGTTCCGTTTTAAGGTCCCATCTGTCTCAAGTTTCAGCCGTTGCCCGCCCGACCTGACTCGAACTCCCTCCCCACCGAGAATTCCCGGCAGCTCAGCACACATCACTGAGAGCACAACCCATCTTCAGAATATCAATACTCGTTGATCCGCAAACAACAAAAACTGCGAATGAATTATATAGATATTTCATCATCGCCCCCCCTTTCTTCTCCCCTTTTTCCTACTACTTTGACCGCCGCATTATTCTCCTGTCATTTCAAACTTCTTTCACCACTCAGCCCTGTCGTTCCCATTACCCGTTTTAAAAGGGTTGCCTTGAATATCTAGGCTCGGTATCGTTGGGATTTCTGAAGCAATTCCAAATTATTAGCTTGCCTGCTAGGGTCGACGGATACTCTACCCTGTACGGAATATTCGGAACTGTGCTATGGCGGCTACTTTTCGGCCTGTCAATCCACCCATGGCGATAGAAGTCAAGGCAGACGATGGAGCGGCGCGGTCGCCCACAACACCTACCCCGACAAATGCCAGCTTTCCACAGCGACCGCTACCAACGTCCCCATTTCCGCAAACAGTTCAAATTCCAGAGAGCATCGATGAAAAGCAGACACCGAAGCAAATGCCCAAACGGGAGAACTCACAGCATTCGAAAAGGTCGCGAGGAGACTCCGAAGACGTCGAGATGGACGAATTAGATGGAGAAAATCATGCAGATGATGGCGCAGGATCGGATGAAGAAAGTGTGAATGCGGATGGGACCAAATCGAACAAGAAAAAGAAGTCGCAACGATTTTTTTGTACCGAGTATCCGCCTTGTAACTTGAGCTTTACAAGAAGTGAACATTTGGCCAGGCATATTCGGTAGGATCCTGCGACATTTTCCTTTGGATAATAATTGTGGCTAACAATCCTAGGAAACATACTGGAGAACGTCCATTCCAATGCCATTGCTCGAGACGATTTTCACGGCTCGATAATTTGCGACAGCATGCACAAACCGTACACGTCAACGAAGACATACCAATAGATTCTCTTGCTGCGACGGGAACAAGGTTTCAAAGACAAATTCGAACTGATCGGGTACGGCAACCTGGGAGACCTCGAGCTGCAACAGCAGGAAGCATGGGTTCCCCTCCTCGAGGCCACGCAAAATCCCTTTCTACATCGAGCATTAGTTCCGTCGGTTCAACTTTCAGCACTCGCGATGACGTGCGCCGAAGGCCTCCTCCTTTAGTGATGGCGGATCCACGGTCTCGGCTTTCTATCGAGACCTATCACAATAATACCGAAACCGCATATTCTTACCGGCCACCATCCCCGAGTGATTTTAGTACGCCAACCTCAGCGACCTTTTCAACCGGGCAGAACAGCCCCCGATGGGGTTCTACAATCGCATCACCAAACTCGTCTCATCCTCGACCACAAAGTATGTACACTGGCCATAGAACCCCGGGACGCCGCCTGAGTGTGCCTTCTAGCGGCGTTCCTTTTCAGTCTCCTCACGGTGCCTCCTTAGGACGCCCTCTTTTCGGACCTAGTGCCGTAAACACTTCAAATCCTGGTGCTTTTTCTCCAACCGGAAGCTTACTAGGATCGCCCACATCCTCAATATTTTCCTCGAGGCGTGAGCCTACGTCACAGACAGAGGATTGGCGTCGTCGCACGTGGCATCCCGACTCAACTAACTTCAACACCGTTAGTAGCAGCAGCCGCTTGAGCAACGTGGTGACTCCATCGCAATTTCAGAATTCCGTACCTACTCCAGTCCCACAGCAGCAAAATACTCCAGTCCGGCTACCAGGAATTGAATCATTTGGTCCTGTCCCCCGTCGTCCGGTGTCTCCGGCGGTGCAAAATCCGTCTGCTATGCAAGTTGACTCGGAAGCGCCCCCTCCGCGAGCTATGCTTCCCTTAACCCAACTCGGAGATACAGACGATAGGCGCAATACGGCTCATTGGGACATGGGCCTGCATAGAGGTTTGACTCGCTTGGATATCACATCAAACCCACCAGCCTCGGACCAGGCAGGAACTTGGGCCCGTGAAACAAATCAAGCGGTAGAGGCTGAGGCGGACCGAATGAGAGCAAACCCCCCTACTGTACGGTTTAACGAACCCGTCATAATGGAGAGCAGACCGTCAGGCGCTGCTAGTTTTTCCAGGGCGTATCACCAACACACTATGTCAGCACCTTCGATCGCTACCTCGAGAGAGATCAAACGGCGGGGTTGGTATAATGGCCCCGTAACAGTTCACGCCGATGCTCCTCCTGAGAAGATGGCGCGGGTGGAGCGGATGGTTCATCCAAACATAAGCGAATTCGCAGGTTTTCCAGCGAGAGAAAATACCACAAATGCCCCTCCCGGACAGCAAAATCCCGGTGAGCGAGATAACATGCTTCGATTGCAGGCACTTGTAGCGGTTGCAACAAGCGAGGGAAACGCGACGACTGCGTATTAGACGGTATACGGTCCACGTCTTAGATTTAACACTATAACCGTATCTGGGATACTACAAATCTCCGCCACAACCAGTACGCATACCGTACCTATTTTTGTCCTGCTACGATCCGCAGGTTTACGAGAGTTATGATTTCTCTTGGTCTTATATTTTCTTAGAGTTTATCTTCTGCATGGTATACGATCACTACTTGACTCACGAATATACCATCTTCTATTTGTTTTTTCTGCACTGTTTTTTGTTGCATCTAACATTGGTCTGGATTTTATCATGACGACACGGACTGGCGTTGCGGGTGGAGAAACTTGATTGCAACCGCGGGAGATGAAAGGCCAGCCGGGTTCATTCATTGAATAGCAGGCAACTACCTCATCTATCTCGTGTTATGGATGATCCTTTAAGGATCCTCTCGTTTTCCTTTTACCTCGGATGGGTTGGCCGCCATGGACTTACACAAGATAGGGGCTCTAGCAATTTTTTTCATTTTATTTTTTCAGCTGATGATTCATGACACGAACCTAATACCCATTCATTTCAAGATGAGGGGGATCGCAAGACGGGGGAACTAATAACGGTCTCTCGCATATTCTCTTTGCGCAGTTGCAAGTATAAAGTTTCTTTGAGGAGCTTTACTGGCCTGCTACTTCGCTGGTTAGACAAGAGAAGAGACTTTTTTCCTTGGGGTTTTTTCTCTTTTCTCGAAAGGGCTGGGGCAGTCCGGATATTTGCGTCCTGAAGGATTGATACCCCAAATTTCTATTGGTTACTATCGGATTTTATAATCTCCTTCGCTATTATCATTCTGGTATATGATTTTGAATATACTCGTTAAGACGACTGCCTGGGGGGTTTGACTGGTAGCTCATATAGATAGTTACAGCTCTCGTTTAATATCGTGTTGGCATTTGTGAACGATATCTGTGTTCCCGTCCAGGATAAATCTTAAGGTCAAAACACCTTCTAGCTTCACCAGCACTTTTCGTCTCCTAATAGCTTTGGATAGTTCGTATGGGGCTAGGTATTTCGGTTCAATGATCTCTTAGGTAGGTCATATGTGTCTTAGCTTTGAGTAAAAAAGCTCGCTTCGATAGTACTAACATCCTCAAAGATGTTCAATGGGAGCTAAATGTTATTTCTTCTAATATATCACAAAGTCATACCACCATTCCATATATTTCCTCGTTATGTCGAGACCTTACAGATCCGATTCCAGCTAGGTTTCCCTCCGATGACAATAAATGACAGGATAGCAGTGACAGCTGATATAATAGCAAATATAAGATTCATATTGCCGTATCCCATACTGTTACGAAGAGCTCCTGCTAGAATAGGACCAATAGTAAGTCCGACACAAAAGAACAGAGAGTTGAAGCCATATAGTTGAGCGTATGGACCGTTCACTCCGAAGAACCCAGGGTTGGCCTGATTGAACTTCTCAACAATGTTACTCGACTCAACTACACTAGGCGGACCAATGAAAGCTAAGCCCACGCCATTCAAGGCTAATAGTGCGCAGTATAAGATGACGTTATTTGTTCCAGATAGAATGCTATCGGATGGAAGACGAAGCAGAATAAGGGTAGGAACCAAGTATCCGAACCCAACGACGGCAGGTATCTTGGTGCCGTATCTGTCTACCGCATACCCTGCTATAGGCCCTAATATAAGGTAGGTAACATCCAGAGCAATGAAAAGGAGCCCTGCTTGTAACGATGTAAAGTTGAAGAGGCTCTGAGCTTCCGTCGGGATCGTAGCGTCGAACACGGCTAGAAGACAAGCCTGGACAAAAGCTAAACTTAGTCCTACGAGAAGCCTCGGATTGCGGAAGCAAATTAAGATGGGAAACGCCCGGACGATCCTGTTAGGCTCTTGTCGGACCTTGTATGTATCGTCATCTGCACGCTTCTTATTAGGCAACAATGAGTCGCGCTCGGTGATCTCTTCACGATCAGAAGCGTCTTCAATTTGAGCGGGGTCTTGGGTTGCCTCGTGGTCCCCGTGTGCATCGTGTTCTTCTATTTGGGGATCAGGTCCTAGACCGACATTATACTTGGCTGCTATCTTCTTTTCCACCACCAGTAGCCGCATGAGAAAATCCAGGCCTAGAACCCCCGCAGCTACGCCGAAGACACCCGAGTATCCGGTCTTCTCATACAGCACGCCCCCAATAACCGGCCCCATTAGTGCACCCACGGATACGAAGGAGAAGATGGACCCGACGACCTTTCCTAGGTTCTGCGGACCGACGGTATCCAGGACCATGGCGAGGCCTATCGTCCAGACCACCGCCGCGCTGATCCCCTGCAGAACCCTGGCGACAACGAGCACCGCTATACTCTTTCCTAGCGCTAACATGATCGTGGCCGCTAGCAGCGCAGCCAAGCCGCTTAGGAACGGGGTCCGCCGCGAACTCATGCGATCGGCGATACACCCGGCCGGGACGGAGGACACGACGGAAGCCCCCGCGTAGGCGGCCAGCAGGTTGGACACGTAAGACTGGATCTCGTCCTCAGGCATGGATAACCTGTTACGCAGCATAAACGGCAGCACGGGGACCACGAGGCCGTACAGGAAGAGATCGGTGAAGAGCCCGACGGCGACGGTCACGAGGATGAAGAGCGTGTTGGAACGCCAGCGGAGAGCCCAGGGCGGGCTGCTGTTGTCGGGTGCCATTTCGAATGATACCTCCCTCCTAATTTTAGGTGGTAAAACGGAAAAAAGTAAATAAATATATATTATTAGGTGTATATGTAAATAAATACCAGGTAGGTTAGATTCAAATAAAATAACAAGTACCACAAATGAATAACTTGTTACCGATGTTTTGTAAGACGTAACTAGTAGCTTCTAGTCCGTTCATTGGACAATTGCTTGGGACTCTGGTTCCTGCAGATCCATGACCTCATATCCCGGGCTTCGAGAGCCACTGCGTTGGGTACGGGCGTCATAACGGAAGATCTATAATTAAACCGGAGAATATACTTTTATCTTCTTCTTTCTGTTTCTCTCACCTCGGTACATAAATACACACCCGTACCCCCAACTTCCGCCTCACAGGTAAGTTTAGGTACCTGGTATGCTCAATCATTTCCCTAGAACCCCCTCGCTCGCTCCTCAGTCCATCTTAATCCACGGCGGCAAACCGTCGTACTGCTCCCACTCCAGCGGGATCTTCATAACCGCCTCCCTGACGAAAATATGCGCGGCGCCTGCCCACTCCAGCCCCCCGACCACGCACCCGCCCTTGACGCTGACCGACGCGCGGGGCGTCCCGTCCGCGCCCACGATCCGGTGCATCACCCGGCACCCGCACTCCGGGCAGAAGTAGCAGTCCGCCGAGCGCCCGGCGTTCGTGGGCCGCCGGAACACTTTCAGGCGGGAGGCGAGGTGCGGCGAGAGCGGGAATAGGCCCGCCGAGGGGAATATCGCGGATGTCCCGAAGGCGGAGCCCGATTGGCGCTGGCATGAGACGCAGTGGCAGTGGTAGAGCGTGATGGGGCGCGGGGTGGGCGTGGGGAAGGATATGTATCCGCACTGGCAGCGGATGGTGAGCGGGTTGGCGTCTTCTGGTGAGGAGGGCATGGTGGTGGGTAGTTTACTTGTTTTGTTGTCTTTGTGTTGGCTGTGAGGCGTCTCGTAGGTATTATAAGTTAATCGTAGGACTAGGTAAGTTGGGTACCTAACTCAAGGTATTTATTTGTTTATGTCTTAGATAGTAAGTCAATGAGAGCTTCGGTTCTATACCTTCGTTACTTCATATATAGGTGTAAGAAGTCTCGCTACCTACTGGATAATAACTTGCTGTTGTGGAACAGGTACAATCTAGCTATCTCCAACTTGGAGAGTTTCGGCAGTTGGTGGCGGAGGTGTCGATCCAAACCGCTCTGATGACTGCTCAAGTCTACCATAAGCTAAATACATTTACTGACGTCTTTCAACAATATATTGTCTTCCACCATAGCAGCTACCTACCTACCTTAGGTAGGTTAGGTACTTACTGTGAGGTAAATTTATCTAGAAACACTGGAACTTATACACCTATGAAAATATCATAATGACGTGTCGATGGACGATAATAACATCAAGATATCGTTATTAACAAAATATGCAAATACGAGGCATAGTTCGGTATCGGCCCATGTTATGCATCTAACGCAATAGGGGTAAGGCAGTTCAATGAGTTGGCCTATACGAAGGCTATATACGGCAGAGCTATTTCCTACCTAGAAGTATATAGGTGATAAACAGGTTTCTTTTGTGCATAATAGGTTGTGATTCAGAGATGAATCGGATTAAGTCTTTTTTTTCTTTTTTCTTTTTTTTATATATATAATGCAGAATTGCTATGGCATCCAGCCGGCTGTCAATTTTGTAAGCGGCAGTATGACAACAATTTTTTATAGCAATTAAGTCGAGTTTCTTTCCTACCAGCTTTTTAAAAAAGCTCACATATCTGATGGTGGTATTATAAAGCAGAAATTTGATCACGAACCCTTCATATTCCCAGAGTGACGGCAATCAAAATTGCCAGTGTCCAAAAAAAAGGGGGGTTGTTCAAATTGCTTGTATGGCTTGGTCAAATATAAGGTAGATAGATAAGCTTTTTATTTGTACTTAGTAGTGAAGAGATTACGCGTCACGATTTTAACATAGACAATAAAGTAGAGTGCGGGTTTATGGTAATTGAAAATAGGGGCGCGGTGGTGAGGGAGAGAAAATGCAAAGGGCCAGTCGCAGGCTGGTGGGAGAAAAAAAAAATAAAAGTAAAAAGGATTGGCAAAAAAAAGCTCGGCCTGTGTGTTGAACACAGGACCTACGAAAAACTACTTTGTAAATGTCGTACTGTCGAGTCACGGGCATACCGGTCCAGCATATGGCACCACGGTGCAGTTTTCTCTAGCCTCCAGTCACCCAGGGATGCTTCCTTTTTGCGGGGTCGGCTGAAATTTGGTTTGCAATTTGACCTTATAACCTTCCTATCGTTTGTTCCCGAAGAAATTGCGGTAGCTACGTACCTGTATGTACTATTTCCAACATTGCTGTCGCTAAGGCACTGCAGGCAGGTGCGGTGGTCAGGCACCAGCTGCCAGGCCCAGTGACCCAAGTAGGTTTTCCACGCCACCCCAAGAATTCACTAAAGGCACGGTACATTTCTAAACTTACATAAATCGCCTATATCTTAGGACATGTCCAAGGGAGAAACTCGCTGATTTGTATTACTTATCGAGATAATTTAATACATCCGTTCCAAATTTCTTTCGCGAGACATTTCCACCTACTACTTGCCCCCAATATCCACTCCTCGTCACTCATTTATGATATAGTGTCCACCCGCCTAGATACGTCGCTACGTTTTTACCTAGAAATGAGAGTAAAGCGCGCGGTTGTATTAGCCTCGCTTCACTCCTATCTATCACCTTCGTCAGACCTCGCCCGAATATACAAACCAAATACACGAGCAACATCCAAACAAGCATAATGCTGAAGCAAAGAACAGCACCTGTCATGGAATTTGTTAGAGTTTTCGAAGCTTCTTACCTATACGAAGAATACATCGTACCAATCCGGCTACTCGAGTCGAAGAAGGCCCATTAGAAGCAGCTTCAACAGCACTGAGTCCTAAAGAAATTAACACCGCCCATACAACTGCTGCGTGTTTTACAAACGTAGCCGTCGAGTGATTAGCCAGGGTACCAGAAGAGAAACGAGCATTTGTAACGATGCTTCAAAAGCTGAGGTTCCTTGGAGTCTTTAAAGTTTAAAAGCTGGAATAAATGTGAGTGTCAACTCGAAGAATTGACGTTGCTTTCTTCACTTATAAGCACCTCGCAGACGGCACTGTGACAACAAGTTAGCAATTATTTCTGCCACAAAAGGTGAGGTAATTTGGCGACTTAGAACAGATTGCAGAACTTCATACTGTTACTTACAACATTGGCGGAGAGCACGATATCTAATATATGATGACAGCTACAGTTCAGTTGATATAACTGTCGACGGAAAAGTCCAGGATATAGTCTGACAGTCGATCAACAATTACCCATAAATTTCATGGTTTATTCGTAGCTGTTTTACCGGTTGCATTATTCAGCCAAATAACAAGAAGCCACCTCTATTGATCCAGCGACTATTTACGCCTCTCGACTTTCTACCTACCTAGTATAACTAAGGGAGGTATACAGCTTTGGAGGCTCTTACTGACCAGCCATTCATACAGGTATAACGCGACACCGGCGCATATATCAAATAAGATCTCGGCAAATCATACCTTAGAGTCGCTATTATCACGATTTTCTGTTCCCGTCGAATATTAAGCACTCCCGACTTTGTACAGATTACTTACATATCTCCTTCTGATATCCTACCCTTAAGATGTTTACCTCCCGAATCATGGCAAGGTTTGAAAGATTTAATAACTGTTGAGACCTTGTAGAGATATCTTAAGTCAACTTCTTTGGTAATTGGATAACCTTTACTAAATAATGTAACATGTCATCAAGCCAATTTTGAGGTAGTTAGGATCATAATGCGGAGCTTATTGCTGTACAATCACATTTAGCATATCCGCAACTCTTGACAATGAGCTGTAGAAAATAACTCTTCTTCGTAAGCTTTCTATTTATCCGTTCCCAATTTGGTAAATCCGAAGTTCAGTTGTCGTTCCTGTCGTTCCTGAAATACTTACCTAGTAGTCAGGGGTGCAATCTCGCGGCTAAAAGGGTCGACGATGTTGGGCGCAACATGAAACCCCCTATTCCCCACAAAGACACAAAGATCATCCAACCCCTCAGCGCCGAGCCGGGGTATTGGAAGCAGGATACTATGAAACCTGCAGACATTTCCACGTTTTGCTAAATGATGATTCCTGGGATATTGTTGCCGATGCTCCACATCAAAGGTCTGGAATCTGGTATTAAGGCGAGATTGTCGTACTACCACTATATGCGCTACGACGTACATAGTACGATATTACCAGGTTCCGGACGATGTAGCCGTCGTCGCCTGAACCAGAAATGCATATATATAGGAGGTACCTAAGGTGTTTAATGTACTTCATAACATGATTCGATCTATGAGCTCTAATTTACTTCGTCTTTCGAACTAGCTATCTACCTAAGGTAATTAGTTAGGTATTCATTTCCACCTACCCAAGATGCTGTTCGGATCTGTGATCACGGCGTTCGCATTTGCGCTGTGCGTTTCTGCTCGAGCTGTCCCGAACCCAGTCGAGGTTTTCAAGCGTGCACACACGCCCGGTGTCGTAATTAACAAATGCTCCAAGCCTGGCGTTCTCGCGCTGGCCTACGACGATGGTCCATATCAGTACACCTCGTCGCTAGTAGACACTTTAGACAAGGCGGGCGTTAAGGGAACCTTTTTCCTGACTGGTACTTTGTATGGTACGATTATCGCACCCTATCTTTCTTTTTTCCCTAGACATATAATGCTAACCATGCTAGGTTGCATCTACAACCAAAGAGCCGCTGTCAAGAAGGCCTTTGACTCCGGACACCAAATTGCGTCCCACACGTGGTAATGACTACCTGCTCAAGCCTTTTTCCACTTAATACGGAATATCTGAAACGTACCTCCTGGTTGCTAATACTTCGCAAAAAAAAGGACACATTCCCACATGGGAAGCATGGGTGCCGCGCAAATCCGGAGCGAGATGGAGAAGGTCGAGCAGGCGTTCGTGAACATCTTCGGGCGGAAGCCACAGTACATGCGCCCGCCGTTCCTCGAGACGGGCGGCCAGTTCCTGAGCGTGATGCGGGAGATGAACTACACCGTCATCACGGACGACGTGGACACCGGCGACTGGAACAACCAATCGCCGCAGCAGAGCCAGCAGAAGTTCCAGCAGGCGGGTGCCGGTGGGAACGGCCATATCCCGCTCATGCACGAGACGTATCAGAGCACGGTTACGACTCTGACGAACTGGCTGATTAACTGGGCTAAGACCAATAACCTGAAGATCGTTACAGTTGGTACGTACCTACCTAGATATCCTCTTCTTGATCTGCGGAATGGAATGTCAGGTTTGCTAATATTAGGTACTACGTATTCTAGCTGAATGCCTCGACGATGCCAACGGCGCTTACAAGGCAGGAACATTCCCAAGCAACGGGCAGACATCCTGTTAAAGGATAGCATAGGAAAGGTTAGGTTAGGTAGTTTAAGTTTTTGGTGCTTGGTGCTTGGTGGCTCATTAAACTAATATCATATCATTTACCCCTTTTTATCCTTAGACTATAATTCCCCGTCTATAATTCCGAAAATATAGGCCGGTGCGACGAGTTGGTAGCGATCACGTCTAGCCTTCTTTTAGTACGAAGGGGACATTTGATCCAGCCAGAAGGGCAACTTTGTCGTTCTCTACAGTTAAAATACGCTCTACCAGTATGACCTGTTTCAAGGAATAGAAAACCCTAATTGACCAGATGAAAGTAGGTAGTAATAGTGATGAAACGTGCTTGCATTCACAACACATTTCTTAGCCGCCTCGGAAAGAGGTTTGTCTGAAGAGACTATAACATTTTAATATTTTAATATAAGTACCTACATGTGTTGTTGAAGTATGCATGAGCAATGAGCTTCGCTCAAATACGCCGACTAATACGTTAAATGCTGACCAGGTACTGAAGTATATGTGTCTGTATGTGAGAAGTACGTACCTGTCGTACCGAAGTTGCGTTGAAGATAACCAGATAAGCTCAAACCATCCCGCTTACAGGAAGCGGCTTCGAAGATCAGTGGGTCCAAATCACTTTCCCGTTACCTCTCCCCATGTTTTTTTTTTCTTTTTCTTTTTTTACCCGTCTTTGCGCTTTCCACGCACGCGCACGCGCACACGCGCATCCACTCCCATTGACCAACCAACCCAACTAAAAAAAAAAACTACACCACATCTCACGAAGATTCCCCGGACATCCGCCGACAACTTGCCGTCGTTAGTCCTTTTTCCATAGGTTCTTTACCAGGACCTGACCGATCTTCAGATGGCATCGTACCCAGAACCCTCAGAATCTACCGAACCAGTTCAGGTTCCTCAATCACCCACCCCGCCGCATCACCACCAACAACTTCAAGACTACGATGGACTTCCCTCGCCTATAGCCGCCTCAACCGTCGCCCATCATGGACTTCAAGTCTTACAAGCTGCATCCGCAGCTTCTGCAGCTTCTGCAGCTCCCGATCCCGCCGAGTTAGCCCAGCGGTATGCGCAATCCGCTACTTTACAGATGGATGGCGGATCTTTCTCTCCCCCTCTTGTGCAACCGCAGCCTCAACCGCAGTCGCAGTTGCTGCCACCGCCGCCGCCAGCTGCGTCGCCTATGCCTGTAACAGCAGCTACGCAAAAGGTTACTCGTCTTAGACGGGCCTGTGATATGTGCAGTCAGCGAAAGGTTAAGGTATGCAATGCGCCTTTATTTTGTATATTTACTTTTCATGCTTTCTTTTGTTCTCCGCCTACCCTCTCTGCCCTATCTCCTTTTATGACTCTACCCCGTCAAATAGTATCCCGTCTAAGTACTGATAATACAAATTCAGTGCGATGAAAGTGGTCCGCCCTGCAAACCATGCTCCGATCTTCAGGTTGAATGCACTTTCAATAGAGAGATGAAGCGACGTGGGCCACCCAATAAGCATGCCGAAGCGGCGAGGGCTGCGAAGCGAGCCCGTAGTAGCGATATCTCCCCAGCCCCTCATCACGCCGCCGAAACCCTGGTTTCTATCGCGACTCACAATGTTCCAATCGGCCTGGATGCTGAGGCCATTGCGCCGTGGCCTATTCTAGAGCTTCTCGTCGACGACTTCTTTACCTACATACATCCTCTAATACCTTTCCCGCATCAACCCTCTTTTCGTGCCGCGTTTGCCAGTCGCATGGACAGAACTAGTGGGGACTTCTTAGCATTACTAGCTAGCATGATCGGTGTATTAGTTGCATCTTTCCCCAGAAGTGCAAGGTCGCATCTCAAGTCCCAACACAGCACTAATCTATTCCCTTCGGCCATTGCCATGATCGACCATTGCCGGTCTATTGCCCTCGATGCCCGGGGTGCTCGCTTCACGTTAAAAGAAGAGATGACCCCTGACGACGCTGCCACCAGCTATTTCCTGGGTTATGCTTGCGCGCATACACTGCAGTGGAGGATGTGTAAACGCTTCCTAGCCGAGACCATGACATTCTGCAGAGAGCTTACTACCCGCCGGCCAAGTGGTCTATCTTCTCTAGAAGCCAGTATGCCGGGTCTTGCATTGGCGCCTAACACTTCGTCCGGTAAGCCTGTCGATCACATCAGGGATCAAATTGGTAAACGCATCTTCTGGGTCATGGTTGCTGGCGTTAGGTGAGATCTTATTCTATTATGGTGCTATATCATGCTTCTCAGCTAATTCGAACATAGATCCATAACCCAATTAGGAGTATCCATCAATGAGATACCATTACCACCACCCACCTCACAAGAGCCTTACCCTGAGCAGCCCGTGGAAGTTGACGATGAATATATATTTCCAGACCAGATCCTCCCCCAGCCGGAGGGCACCATCTCCTTAATCACGGGATTCAATCGCAACAGTCGTGTATACATGACCATGAATGAACTAGTCGGCGTCGATATGTGCTATGGGATCAACTTCTTCGACTGGACTGCGCAAAAGAATATCCTTAGCAACGGGCTCGCGAGCGCGAAGCAGGCTGCCGATGATTTTCCCCCCGAGCTTCAGGTAAAGACAGATAACCTCCAAAAACTTCAAAACCACACCATGGGGCTCGACGATTGGGACTTGGAATACTATCCACCTGCTATTTCCGCCACGCAGCCTGCAAATGACTTGCGTCGCATACTCGCAGAGCAACCTATGCGCCGACGGCACCTTCAATGTGAGATTCAGAAGGCAAATATACAAATGTCACAGTTGGCCACGCGTTCGTACTTTGTGGAACGATATCTCAGCCTCCGTAAAGCACGCCGCGCGGATCCTAATTTCGCGGAGAGGGCGAAGACGGAGGAAAAGGACGACCGGGACGAGATGATGCAGAACGAGCGAGAACTAATCGTTCAGAATCTTATTACTGTATTAACGTCGATCAGCCAACGTAACATGGAGCCGAATGGATGCTCAATTATCAACAAGATTCGTCAGGTCGCTAGCACGCTGCTAGATATTGATGAAGAAGGCAAGGGGCTTGCCGTGGCTAAGGCGCAGGAGTATCTCAACGGCTTCCTAGCCATACTCATGAAACTGGAGAAGATGGGAGCTACGCCTCGTGCCGAGACAATGACTCCGCAAGATGAAGAAGAAGAATTGCGGAACTGGTCTAGTCTGAAGGAATATCAGCATCGTTTTACGTCGAGTGGAGGATTTCTTGGGAATGGCTACTAGTGATTAAGCTTGATACCCTACTGTGATTCATGTTTTTTATTTCCCCTCTAAGATGGCTAGGTATCTACCTAATGTACCTACCTATATAAAGATTTTGGCCGAGGTCATTTCTCAAGTAAAATCCTAGGCTAGATATGGGTTAGGTCAGGTTAGGTACCTTTATCAAGATCGCATAATGATTTATTATTAATTACTCGGATACTAACTTGATAAAATGAGTATAGGTAAATATGCTAAGATTGGGTCTTTAAGTACGGTTAGCAGAGAATGGTCGTTGGAGAGCCAATCATAAGCTCGGACGAGCTCAATTTTATCCAAAAGGGGGAGCCGATAATTGCCAAGCCAAGTTTTAAGAAGAAAAGAAAAGGGGTGGATAATGGTACAATACCTGGATGGATGGTCATCTAATAATACTAAACCACAAGCAATTGAACATGTTATAAAATTTAACACTTGCGAATATCCTCATTTTTTCTTTTTCTTTTTTGAATTCTTGATTCACCCATTATTTTATTTACCATTATCACAAGCCGCTTTGAACCCGCACGAAGTTGGTAGTAGTCCCGTATCCGCGTCGTCATAGATGGGTATCGGGCAAAATGAGTGGGTAAAACACAAGCAAAACAATCAAACACGCGGGAGCTAATTCTTCACATACGTCACTACCTTAATCACTTATCTATTTCGTCATTCTTGAATGGGAAGAGTATTAGGGTTTTTTTTTCCTTTCTCAAAGCCTGCCTGAAATTGTTGCCGTGCTGTCTGTTTTATTAGTATAAGTATTAGACAATGCACTTGCCTTCTTTCTTTTTGTCTTTCTTTCTTGACTTCGATTTCCATACCTAAGGTTAGTCGAATCGAATAACCGATAAACCGTCTAAGACAAAGCCACCAAGATGCCTTACCCCGACGAGTTTGAAGGTTTCATGATTACCGAGCTAGGTAAATACAAGGACTTTAAGAGACAGTCCGTAAGTTCGATATTATACATACCTTCTTAACCTAAACAATTTCCCCAACGGCGCAACTCTCTAACTTGGGGTTCCTAGTTTAAACCGAAAGTCTTCGGCGACAACGACATCGACATCAAGATCGAGTGCTGCGGCGTGTGCGGCTCCGACGTGCACACGGTGACGGGCGGGTGGGGCGACGCCCCGACGCCGCTATGCGTCGGCCACGAGATCGTGGGCAAGGCGGTCAAAGTCGGGCCCAAGGTCAAGGACGTCAAGGTCGGCGACCGCGTCGGCGTCGGCGCCCAGATCTGGTCGTGCTTGAAGTGCGCGCAGTGCAAGAGCGACAACGAGAATTACTGCCCTAGCCTAGTCGGTGAGTGAGTGCCAAACGAGAACGAAACGAGCCCGACATTCGTTACGTTAGATATTTGAGGTACTTTTGTAAGGTACCTACTCTTGCTCTTGCGTGCTTACACGGGTTGTATCTGTCTAGACACGTATGGCGCCCCTTACCCTAAGGAGGCGGATCCCCACGAAACGATTTCCCAGGGCGGTTACTCGTCGCATATCCGCGCGCACGAGTACTTCGTATTCCCCATCCCCGACGCCATCCCATCGCACCTCGCGGCGCCGCTGCTCTGCGCCGGACTCACCGTGTGGTCGCCCCTCGTGCGCGCGGGGGTCGGCCTCGGGAAGAAGGTGGCGATCGTGGGGCTGGGCGGGCTGGGCCACCTGGCGGTGATGTGGGCCAACGCGCTGGGGGCGGAAGTGACGGTGATATCGCACTCGCCGAGCAAGAAGGCGGACGCGCTGCGGCTCGGGGCCCGGCACGTGGTCAACAGCGGGGAGAAGGACTGGGCGCGGCCGCTGGCGTTCGCGTTCGACTTCGCGCTCAACACGGCGGACATGACGAACAAGTTCGACCTGAGCGCGTACCAGTCGATCCTGAAGGTGGGGTGCGGGTTCCACCAGGTCGGGCTGCCGGACGAGCCGCTGGAGGGGGTCACGCCCAAGATCTTCATGGCCAACGGGTCCAGCATGGGCGCCAGCCACATCGGGTCGCGGCCCGAGTGCCTCGCGATGCTGAGGCTGGCGGCGGAGAAGAAGCTGTTCCCGATGGTGGAGACGATACCGGTTTCGGAGAAGGGGTGCGCGGAGGCGATCGAGAGGGTTAATAAGAACGATGTGAGGTATCGGTTTACGTTGGTTGATTACGATAAGGCTTTTGGTACTTAGCCAAGAGGCCTTTCTTACCTCTTCTCTTTTTACCTCTTCTCTCCTGTTTTCGATTTCTCTTGAGTTGGAGGGTTGAGAAAAAAAGCCATGATGAGTTAGTTTGGGGAGTTGGATATTGTATGTTGTAAAGGGTTGGTGTAGTTCGGGTATGGTGTATATATGGGAATGTGATGGAATGAAACTTGGCAAAATTCAGGTACTGATGACAACTAAAGTGAGCTTATTGAATGTCTTTAGGGAAGCAGCTGAAAAAGTAGGTGGTTATAATTGAGAGGTTATGTGGTCATAATTCATAATAAGTTCTTATAACTAACAATCCCATCTATCTTAGTTACAGGTATGTTTAAATGCATATCAGATGGTAATTTTTAGATGTAGGCACTGTTTTCGAGAGGTACATAACTTGAGGTATTCAATGTTGTACATGTAATGATTATGTGGCGGTGCACATGTTTCAAGAGCAATTTGTGGCAAGGGTCCGCAACAAAAATCGATGCACCGTTCAATTCAATCAATTAACTGGCGTTTCTAATGTATTGGTCGAAATGCTCAACTTCACCAAAAGTCAGATGTGATTAAGTTTTGAGGTTAATATAAGCAACTATTAATCATTCCACACTGCTGTGAACCCAACTTATATCTCTTTTGTATTTCTTTTTTTTTTAGCCGTGCTTCTTTATCGAAATCCAAAGTTCACTAAAATCCACCACGAGGAAGAAACGTTTAAGATTGGTCAAAGGCAATAAAGATCAAGCTCGGGTTACTTGGTATTACCAACCGTCCACAGGCAGAACAGGGATAAAGTACAGCAGAGATTCCTTCGGTACAGATTTACATACAGAAGAAAAAAAAAAAAAGGAAAAAAAGACGCCGTGGCTTGAGCTTTGGGGGGGAATTAGCCTTGGGGGCATCACCTATTGATTAACGCCAGATTCCACCTTTAAGTCAAGCCTCCTGCTGTTACTTGATAAACCAGGGATCCTAAGGGAAAGGAGTTCACAAAAGAAAAAAAATATAATTCTGCGAGTGCATCACATCGTATTTTTAACAATAAAAACATTGGTGCTTCCCACAATCACAACAACCTCTAGGCACCAACTAGAGCTAAAGCCAATTATATTTCAGTAGGTGGGAAGCTCGGTCTAATTTTAGGATCGTTTATCTCACGCGATAATTTCGACTACTTCGATAACTCCCATCAATCAACGACGACCTAAACCCGTACAACCCCCCCAACCATAGTCTCTCTCCCAAATAAGATCGAGGGAAAAAAATAAATATCGAAGGAGTACGACATTACCATAATAATATGTCGTCGGGATTGACGAGACGTCGAGGAGCTGGCGGTGGTACCGCCACCGATGATAGCAATGGAATCAATCGGTCCAACTCTTCCTCAAATGTGCGCGACAGCGCTCCTGAAACGAGTTACGAAAATAGCGAGAACGGGCACAAGATTGCCTTCGATCCGCGCGATATCAGCGAAAGTGCAGAGCGCAGCAAACAACCCAAATTGACCTTGATGGAAGAGATCATATTGTTAGGACTTAAGGACAAGCAGGTATGATGGGAAGAACAGGAGAAAAGAAGAAAACTCACCAATACAAAAAAAAGTCCGGTACGTGTCATGATGGCTGACCGCGATCGAACAGGGCTACCTCTCGTTTTGGAATGATAATATCAGCTATGCATTACGTGGTTGCATCGTCCTCGAACTGGCCTTTCGCGGCCGCATTAGCATGCAAAAGGATCCTTCCAGGCGGCGATTTCCCCTCGCGGACCGGGTAATCGAAGTCATCGACGACACGCTTACGGGAGAGGTATTATTAGACGAAGCTCTGAAAATGATGAAGCAGAGCGAGAAGATGAGCGTGAGCTCGTGGATTGACTTAATGAGCGGTATGCTATGGCCCACGCGCAACGTCTCTCGGAGACTTCCTACACCGTCGGCTTTGCTGATCGCAGTTATTTACGAACAGGCGAAACTTGGAACCTCATGAAGATTGGTTATCAACTAAAGCAGGTCCGCGAACGACTATGCAAGGGCCTTGTCGACAAAGGTATCCTACGCACCGAAAAGCGCAACTTCCTACTCTTCGATATGGCAACTCATCCCGTAGCTGACGGCGGCGCGAAAGACGAGATTCGACGGCGCGTTAGAAACGTTCTGACTCAGCGAACTGTCGTCTTGCCTGCTTCCCAATTCCTACCCGAGAACCTCGAGTTCCGTTACATTCGAACCATCTCCATGGTTTGCGCCGCATACGCTGCCAACGTCCTAGAGAATGCCCTAAGCACGCTGGGCCACGAGGCTCGGGAGAGGGCTTTCACACAGACCGACGAGTTGCTCTCGGAGTACTCCCAATGGCCATTCGGAAGGAAGACAAGCACTACTGGCATTGGAGCTAACCTACCCCAGGTCATATCCGAGGTAAGTTCTACCTTCTAGAAAATACATTCATCAAGAATAGCATAACAGTATACAGTATACTAACTCGTGGCCTTTAGGAAATCAACAACGCTAAAGACAAGGAGCTCCAGCTTGAGGTTGTTGCCGCCTGTCTGAGCGTCTTTACTCGCCTCGATTCACTTCTATAGACATCGGATTTGCCCATATTAATTCTTCTACTTTATACGACACAACGATACGACCAACAACATCCAACCTCGTTAACCTCACTTCCTGCCCTCCTGAACACAAAACCAATTTCCCAAAACGGCATTGCCAAAGTAATGTCGACACACTGTAGAGAGAGGGCGCGCGCTCTTCTGGATTTGAAAAAAAAAAAGGCGGTGGGGGGGTTAAGGAACGTTATGCCACGGTGACCATGGAACTGGACTGCGAATAACGCGGAGAAAAGAGAGAGGGGAGGGAAGGGGAGGAGGGGGGACACACTCAGATGATGTGCTATCCTCCTCGCTATGGGTGGGATTCAGAGAGGAGGAATCTCCAACGAGGGTAGAAAAATGAGAGGCGGAGGGGAACGAGGAGAGGGAGCCAGACCACTCACGATACAGGCAAGGAATGATGGGTCAATGTCATCATCTTTTATTTTTTATTTTTCTCTCGACGGTTTTTATGTTGTAATAGTCTAAAAATCATGGATTCTTTTTTCCTTCTTTTACCCTTGGCGTCTGGTCCCTCGCGCTTTTTGCTCGCTTGCTCGCTGGCTGGCTTGCTTCTAAGCCGTTCTGCGGGATGTCGTGATATATACTAGGTACCCCTTTATATTATATATATACCATCCTTTTTTTTATTTCACGTAAATAGAGTCAGCAGTATATTACTGTATCTTATGTCATTACGTGCCAGTTATGTACCTATGAATCGTGCCACATAACTGACAGACTGACTTGATCGACAATCCCGTCGTATCGCATCTATTCATTTCATTTCCGTATTTTTCCCCACCTCTTCCCTCCATTTATCTACTTCCCCTTCCTAACCCTCTCCTTCCACCCGCCCTTCTCAAACAGCCAAATCGCCTCGATAGCAAAGACCCTCGCGCTCCGATGCCCGGCCCCTTCCTCGGTCCCGGCCTCCTCGTACAGGCTCCTCAGGACGGCCCCCTCCTCCACGTCCGCCCACACCCCGCGCGCCACCGCGTCCCCGGGGCCCCCGAACTCCCCGCGCCCTAGCCGGTACAGGATGCGCCCGAGCGTCTGGTACGCGACGCAGCGCTGGCCCGGGACCGCGCTGCGGCACAGGCGCGCGAGCTCCCGCACCGTGTACCCGGCGGCCTCGGGGGCCTCGCCGTGGTGGTGCAGGCCCTTGGTGACGGGGATGGCGCGCGCGACGCGCGGCGGCAGCAGGGCGCCGCGGAAGTCGAAGCGCAGCGCGGACACCGGGAGCGAGTCCTGCCGCGGGTGGTACGGGCTGTCGAAGTCGGCGGGGGAGTTGGGCGTGGGGACCGGGGCCATCCACGCGAGCTTCGAGGGGTCGGCGGGTAGGCTCGGGAAGTACTTGTCGTGCAGCTTCTGCAGGAAGTCCGGGTCGTGGGGGTCGAGGTCGCCTGGTTGGCGGGGTTGCGGCCAGTGGGGTTTGGTTGGTGGTGGTGGTGATGATGTTGTTGTTGTCTGTTCGGAGTCGGGAGCGGTGGCGTTTTCGGAGGGGGGTTGTGATAGAGGAGGAGGAGGAGGTGTTGACTTTGCGTCTGGAATTGTTTTTGCTTCGTCTTTTTCATCCTCTACCGTAGCCCATCGAACGCGTTTAGAGTTGTCCGAAGTACTTGATTCTGCTTCGCTTTTCTCTGCGAGCTTTATATTCGATGTATTGCTACTCGGTTCGACGGCCGTGTCCTGCACCACTATCTCGGGAGGATATTGTATTGGTTTTGGATTTGGATTCGAAGAGAAGCTGTCTTTTGAGGCGGGATCGGGAATATCGAAAGGAGAGGGTCCGTTAGATTCGTCCAAGTTGGCGCGCTTAAGCAACATCTCGAGCACGGAAGGATCAAGTCCGCTAAAAAGCTCTTGCCTGGCCGCCTCTATTTCTTCTGGTGACATTGATGCCAGTCTGTCGGTATTTTCGCGATCTATGCCTTGCTTCTCGTTCGCTCTGAAATCTCCATTTGGTCGCGTCGTCTGTTGCGCATCTTGACTTGGTGGCGATAGAGGTTCTTTTGACCCTGTAGTGAATACTTTTGGTTTGTCTTCTTCTGACTTTGTTGTAGCCTGTCGTTTCTGCTTGAAGGCCGAAATCCGAGTTCGCTTTTTATGTTCGGGGAATCCGGTGGTGGTTGACTTGACTTGGGGGAAGTTTGGAGCTGTCGGCTCTTTTACTTCCTTCTCCTGGATATCTGTAATAAGGAAGTCCATCGCTACTGGTATTGTCTCCTTAAAGACTTACTATGTAGTGGAAGAAAAGTACATGAGAAAGTAGCTTGGTCAAATTTTGAATGTTGTTTGCGACAAATTGATAAATAGAGGCTTGTGAAAAAGCTTAGGCTTGAATAATATTTTTAATTGATGCGATGCGTTGACGTAACAGCCACTCAGCCCCTCCAAGTTTAGTACCTACAATACATTAGGTAAGGTACCTATGCCTATGTACATGCGCTAGTCTAAACCTGGCTAGCAGTATCGCTTTCCTCAATATCCCCATCGTTTACCGTCCATACTATGTACCTTAAATAGGTACCTAGGTAGGAAGTTATTGTAAACCAAGTCCCTGCGATAGCGATGCCAAGAGCTTATTCGATTGGGATAATGTAATCCCCATCCAAGGCCCACGGGAATAACTGCATAATAGCTAACAAGCTGGTGAGTTTGCGGAAGGATCGAGATTATCAGTCATGGTGTTCCAGCCGGGACGCACTTCGAAGGCATCGACTATGACGAATGGTCTGGAAAAAAAGATTTCTAATTGACGAAGGGAAAAGAGGAAATATATATTCTCTCTCCTCCTCCATGCTTTCGAGCTCTCACGAAAACGAGTAAAGATACATCATCATATGGTCAGTACTACCTAAGGTATGTACCGTCATCTACTGTTGGCCAACCAATCAAGAATGCCAGACATGCCGCGACTAAGATGTTCCTAAAAATAAACTACAGGCACTAAGTAGGTATACATGTACATATAGGTATTTTTAGAAGCTTCCATACCTCTACTCTATGTACCTAGGTACTTAGGTATCTCTTATACGTATACCTATTATAACTTCACAAAAATCACTTATTCATCTCAAAGTATTATAGCCCACCCCGTTAGATTACCTTCCCTGCTCTAGAAGAATCTCGGCGGCGGTCCTAGCCCTAAATGCATTTTTATCCCACCCATAACCGTGGGCAAAGACAATATCTCCAAGATCGATCAACACCGAGCCCTTCCAGTTCTGTTCATGAGAGCCCCCCTGAAAGCTAAAACCAGCACACCAGAGAAATGCATCGACATCTTCAACTGTGGCCGGGTCATTGCCCTTTCCATCAATCCATTCGTAGACAATCGCACTATATTCTATGTCGAACTCGAATTCTCGCTTGACCTTTTCAATTTTGACAGGCAACGGGAACACATGTCTTGGCCAGCCTCCGAGGATCGAATTGCCATTGACTTTTGCCCAGCCAAAACATTCCCTCATGCGCGGCATCGATGTTACAGACATGGGTTCAAAGTGTAGGCCGGCATCAGTCCAACTAGATAACCCAGCCTGCCGGCCTTCGAGGGAAAAACTAAAGAGATTACGCTGTGCAACATCCTTGGTCTCTGGGTAAGGGTGGTCCAGGATTGGCGGTGTGATACCCTCTGTTGCTTCTTTTATTGCGATTGCCATCATCTGGAATAAAGCGGCATTCTGGCATTCACGTTGAAAGGCATAGTGCCTGATCTTGCCATAGTAATCAAGAGGTGCTGTCGGGTCAAAGAACTATGTCACGTTCTACTATCTTAGGGATGATTAAAAACCAGGCTGCTGCTTACAATTTTCATGGCATAAGCACGCATATTTCCGGAAAACCGAATTTTCCACACGTATCCGTCGAGCCCGCCGGAGATTTGACGTGAACGGGTCCAGTCAATATCTTCTATATTGAAAGGACATTTTCGAAGTCGTGGTCGCTTAAACGCCTTGGCAGAACAATCCGGAGATCCGTGCATCAATTCATCGCTGAGGAACGGAATAGATGCAGCCTTTGCCAGCTTTACATTGATGACTTCGCGTTCCGAAGAAAACGAGGAAATTCCAGGACCAGTCATGATTAATAAGTAGTTAAGAGGTGGATATCTACCTACCTAGGTAATAAAGTGCTAGATACGTGTTGTTATTGAAAAGGGACGTAGTTGGTAGTGGTGATGTACATTATGGGTGGGGATAAAAAAGAGATAAATAGTATAGAAAATATTAGGTAATAAAAGGGGCTCTTGTACCTATTAGGTACCCACATATTTCCAAAGCTCTATAACCCCAAAGACAAGTATTTACACCCCTCAGTCCCCAACTCTTCAAGTCTCTTCAATATGGGTCGTAATAAGGACTTAGCTAATATGAAATATGACGGGAAGCTGTATTCGAAGTAACTTGAAGCTATTGTTTGAAAGAATTAGTAATTTATCTAGATACAACATCATATACATCATTAAATTTTAATATGTGTCCAACTATCCAATTTAGACTAATAAGCCGGCGTCGTAAGACTATTAACCCATGGAGCAGCATGCCAACCGGGAAATTCTGGGTTTATAATTGTAGCTTTTTCAGTATTTTAACTAAATCTATATGTTGGCAGATTGGACTTGAACGGGGTAAACACCCACTAGAAGACGTTGCATTGAGCGTTGCCCTCGTGCACTAGGCACTAGCGAGACTAACAGCTACGGATACGTTGGTTAGTATCAAGGCTTCAGAGGATGGGAAATTAGTCACGGATATTGGTGTAGTACATCATGCCACTGGATGTTGTTTCAATGAACAGTGCTGCAACGGCGTTCAATAATAATCTATAAAGTATACATCTTAGGTAGTTAGGTATATCAAAAAATCCCCACGGCTAGAATACAGCTACAAGTCGATAGTACTCAAAAAAGAAAACAAAACCACTAACTAATAGCCAGACTAAGCCCTCACAATAGAAGAGCCTACTAGTGATAACTCATAAAAAGCCCCTCCGAGTTTAACAAGCTCCCCAATACAACAAAGAAGATATGCCTCAGGGACGGATAGGTTGCATGAAGGGCCTGTGAATCAACCCATGGCTTTACTTGGCCAGACAAATTATGCAATCCTCCACAACTGAATATATGAACAAACTTAAATAAGTATTGCAGTAACCTTGGTGCTGAAACAAGTAGTCGAAAGCTGCTTCCGAATACCCTCTTACATATACATCTACTAGGAGGTTGAAAAGCCAAATCAATCCAACATAATTGGATGCCTCAACTACCTTATCATTCCGTATATCTACGTTGTCAAATCGGTCCGAGTGAGCTATTTGTATATTAACTCCGAAAAATTGCCCGCCTAAATGTCCCTTTTCAACAAGTCATTCAAATCCGCTCCCTCGCCTCGTATATGTCTCTAAAAAATACGAAAAATACACGGCTTAAACCCCATGTAGCATAACGGCTAGCCTTAGAAATAAGTTAATATAAGCATATCTCCAATAAATTACGACGTGAAGCAATATATATACAATAACCATCGAACGGGAGGGAAATAAAAAAAGATCAATGGCTAAAGAGCATAGAATAGTTGGTTTGGCAGAATTGACTTATACAGTACTTAAAGCTCGTAATCGAATTACAAGAAGTTACAAGGATACCTGTTCTCAGCCGAAGCTGTTGATTGGAAAAAATGGAAGCCCCACTGGGGGCGAATTAGGGAATCAGAAGGGGGAAGCGCGGACTGCCGCTTAGCGGGCCAATGAGACGTCATCGGCCCGCGTTTCATCACAACTGGACCGGAACCGTGGGCTGAAACTTAAAATAAAGTATGTGAAAGTACGTATTCATGAATTGAAGATTCGCTCTTGGCAGCGAGGTATCAGCATTTGAATCATTCAATAATACGTATTTTGGACATAGTAGGCAAAATATAAAAACGCCTCTTGGAATCTTTTGTGTTTGTTACGAAACCTCTAGTTAGTAAGTACCTAGGTACGTGCGGAATTACTTGGAGTATTTGATACCTACACTTGGAACCCACTATAGCCGCAAACGCAAAGGAAACTTTCGACCAGCACATAAGAGTGGTGTGGTACTTTATACGATTAATAAGTAAGTAGTAACATTACCAAATTGAACTTAATCATACGTGAGTCATAAATTCGAGAGAGGTGAAGAGTCGCATGCTCATTGAGGAGACAAGAATACAAAGTCGTACGTGTTTGTACATTATGATACGTACATAAATCATGCATCGCAACACCCCACCTAGGTAGAGAGCTGTGTGTATGGAAGATTCCTTGGGTAGGTACTTTGGTACTTAGTATAGAAAGGCAAAGAATGACTTTAGAAGGCATGTTCATGCAAGATATACTTAGGTACCTAAGGTATTATTTAATTTCTTTGTCAAGTATATTGTTATGCCTCTATCTGAAAATTCGAAAGATTATCTAAGCATAAGCGCCAACCCTCCTAAGAATTAATTCCCATGCGGTATGCAAGTTCTTTATATAAGCCCAGCGTGATGCATGCTATTTTTCCAATCCTTGTTCGGAGAGTTTATCTTAGTAAGCATGATCTTTCGTTGTCTATGACCTAATAGGACCTACATAAATAGGCCCTTGTCATTGTCGCGGCTATCTTGCGTTAACCGTTGTAGTGGGTCCTGTAAGACGTTAAGACTGAAACGTACCTAGGTACGTACCCCGCGGTATCTCTTCAATCCGCAGTTCGGCGGAGAGGACTGGAGGCTCAAAAGCTGCATGAAATTGAGCAGTTCCCCACCCGCCCTGCCTTTTTTTAAGTTTGCCGACTGCTCGGCTCATCCAACCCGGGTCCTACCCATTCAAGGAAAGTACACTTCTGCAGCTGTACCTGACCACACACCACGCACATCCTTTGAACTACCTAGGTACTTGCTTCAGGTGAGACTTTCCATATTAATACATAATCTATAGCAGGTGATACCTCTGATACCTCCCTAACTACTACCTATAATAACCTTTAGGCCTTGGAGGTATGTTATCTATTCGATGACGGAACATTTAATAGTTATCAACCGATGAAACCCCACACTTACACTTAACAAGCGATTGCTGTCGGTACAGTATCTTAACCCAGTGCTAACAAATGGATAGGTTAGGTAGGTACTTTAGGTAAACAAGTATAGATAACAGGTACCTGTGCCCAGCCACGCCTGGAACTTTAGAAATCTGACTGGTCCCTCAAACTAGTAAATTAACGAAAGTATCTCTCTCGTCCGGTTACCCTTTCTAGTTAATGTTCCAGTGTAAGTTAACCGAATGGAAACCTCTAGTTTACTTGGTGGGTTCCTTTCTTATTTTTATGTTAAGTATTCACTCACTTACCATAATACCTATTAAGAATACATCCTAAAGCGCCGAACATAGGGCCACCTCATCAATGTGAACTGTCATACCTACGCCCCTCCTTTATTTTTATTTATTTCTTTTTCTTTTTCTTTTCCACTTTTCCCTTTTAGCATCTTAGCATTTTTATAGGTAGGTACCTATTAAAATTTTCCTCTAACCTTTAACAATCTCCGAGGGCCTTTGGTTAGTACCTAACATGTCTAAAGTATGTATAATACCTACAATACCTACCTAATTCAAGAGGCCCCATCGTCATATTCAAGCTTAGGCCAAGTCACCCACCCCCCCCGTCGGATGACAATTCGCGATCTGATGCCTATGCGCCTAATGTGTTGGGGGGGGGGGGGGGGGGGGGGGGGGGGGGGGGGGGGGGGGGGGGGGGGGGGG